CCTCGCGCTGCCCCGCGGAAGAGCCCCTTTCGATTCCAATTCACTTATAATACCTTGCACGATCTTATAAACACCAGAAGTAAACCAAATAAAATCAAGCAATATACAAAAAAAAAAAGATAATAATAATAACTAGAGATACCTACACAATATGAATTGAGAAGCAGAATCTACCTTGCGGAAGTCGCGGGACTGGGAGGAATCGGAGATCGGCCACACCCTATCGAAGTCCTGTAGGTCCGGATACCTCCAATCGCAAAAACATAAGTTGTTGCCCCAGAAAAGGATAATCCAAAGAAACGAGATTAATGGAGCTCGGGTTGAGAGAAATTCTTGCCTTGGCAGATTGGGCGGGACCTCTAAGTGATGAAAGGAGGAAATAGAGGAGCTTCTCACCCAATCTAGGGTTCGAATGGCGGAAATAGCCGACCCCGTTTTTCCATTCAGCCCCACCGACGCCGATGATGGCAGGATCTAATCCCAGCAACAGGCAATTGGTGTACATGGCGCTCTCAAGCTCTGACTCTCTGTCATCTCGACCCATCGCCATTGGAAAGACTCCTTCCTACTCTCTTTCCCCCTTAACTCCTTCCTTCGTCAAGTCCGTCTCCAGTTCTCCCTCGAACTATGAAATTTGGAAACGCCGGCGCGCCGGCATCGTTTTGTTTTAAAAATTTCATTTTTTTGGCTTTATGCCCCTCGCATCCTGTTTTATATCAAAATTTTAAATTATTGAACATGTCACTATTAAATCATTAAAAAATTAATAAATACAAAAAATATAAGTTGAGGTCTGTTGCATAAATAGCAATATTTTAAGTGATATTTATGTAATCGCCCCTCACGAACGAACTAAAAAAACTAATCCGAGTAGGCTAAAAGGCAAATGATAAATATAAAATTTTAAGAATTAAGCAGTCAGAACGGCTTGTTAATTTGAAATGAAGATAGTCGTTGGGTCATGGGGGACCGTTGCTTCAGCTCGCCGCACCATTCTCCGTCTTTCTTGGAGCTCAGCCTAGAGTCGGTGAAAAAAAGTTGAAATAGCTCTTCTTCTCCTTTTCGATTCATTCATCCAGCTTGATTTCCACTTTAGAGAATGCCATGTGTGCAGAGCTTCAAGGTTTCTCAAAGGAAGAGATGGCCATAGAAGAAGCTCCTGGATTCCCCAAGGCTTATGCTTGGCTCTGTTCAAACTCTGTAACTAATGTACCTTTAGCAAATGGACCTCCTCCTTCTTTCAGTCCACGTGCCTTGCAGTCTCAGTAGGTTTTTCGTTTGCCTTTCTTTATAAATTCTTGCATGCAAAGGGATAAATCATTTTCTTTTTAAAGGCATTAAAAGTCAAAGAACTTAAGTGGATGTTCCCCGTTATTGATCGAGAAGTTCGCCCTTCTGTGAATCAGAAAAAATATGCCGAATTTCTCTGGGTGCGGCTTGATCATCTTGAGTAAGACTGAACGACACAGTTCCATTTGTATTGGAATGTTCTTCGTAACTATTTTGGTCATCTTGGGTTATTCTTGTTCTGCTTTTCAGGAATGCTGGATTTGATCCTGCTTTATTTCGAGTAGATCGTTTTGGAAACGTAGTCTACCTGCATGTTGATTCATCTTCTCAACATTAATCACTGGTTTTCTATTTCACGTACAATCATTCCTTATTTATATGAAAAAAATTACGATTATATACAATTATAACTCATTCAATTCACCTTATTTCTAAATATTGCTAAGGTGGTATAAAATATTGTTTAAATGATATTATTTAAAGATATTGCCAAATCAAACAGCTGATATCTTTAAAAAACATTGTTTTTTGAACTAAACAGCTACTCTGTCATTAAAATTACTCCCATTATATCAATATTGATGAATCATTTCATTCTAATTGTAATCTAGAGGAGGTAAAACGGTGCCAAGTAATTTGAGAATATTACAATGGCAAGTCTGCAAAAAAAGAAGAACAAGCTGGATTTCCTAATTCCATGGTGGGACCTTCAGCTGGTCATTTCAGTGAACCAATCTCTATCCATATTTGTCTCTAAAAACTCACATTTCATGTTATTTTTATCTATTTTTTTTAATATTTCCGCTAATATTTTCCTACGGGAACTTGTTTTTTAAGATTAGATTGAAATTTATCTTAACTGATGTTGGGTAATGTGGAGACCCGATCCACCAAAATTTAATTAGCTTCATAATTAAGAATCTCACTTACCGCTCATCTACCATCCCACCTACCGTTCACCTATCACATCTCACCTACCTCCCACCTACCACTCTCACGATTTCTATAAATATTCTATTTTGGCTTAAAGGAGAAGAAAAGTCAAGCAAGGTCAAGCCAATTCCTCTTGAGAGCTAAAAGAAAGAGATGAAGAGAGAGAGAGAGAGAGGAAGGGAGATAAGAAAATAGAGATTTTCTTGTAAACTTCGAGGCGCTCGACGGTGCAATTCCTCGAAGAAATAAAATTTTGTGCAGCTCTCTCTCCCCTCTCTCTCTCCCTTAGGTTAGTTAACCCTAAACCAATAGGATTAGTTAACCTAAACCTTAGGTTAGTTGACCCTAAACCAATTGAATTAATTAACACATTCCTTAAGTTTGTTAACCCTAATTCATAGGATTAGCTATGCCTATACCGTATGTTAGTTAACCTTAAACCAATAGGATTAATTAACCTAAAATCTGCCGGCTGCCTCCCACAAAAATGAAAAAAAAAAAGAAGAAGAAGTGAAGAAGGATTAGCTAAGCCTAAACCTTAGGTTAGTTAACCTTAAACCAATAGGATTAATTAACTTAAACCTTAGGTTAGTTAACCCTAAACCAATAAGATTAGTTAACCTAAACCTTAGGTTAGTTGACCCTAAACCAATTAGATTAGTTAACACATTCCTTAAGTTTGTTAACCCTAATTCATAGGATTAGTACCGTATGTTAGTTAACCTTAAACCAATATGATTAATTAACCTAAAATCTTAGTAATAGGATTAGCTAACCTAAACTCTAGGTTAGTTAGTCCTAAACCAATCGAATTAGCTAACCTAAACCCTAGGTTATTTAACCCTAAACAAATAGGATTAGTTAATCTAAACCCTAGGTTAGGTAATCCTAAACCAATAGGATTAGTTAACCTAAACCTTAGGTTAGTTAACCCTAATTGAATAGGATTAGTTAACCTAAACCCTATGTTAGTTAACCTTCAATCAAGATTAGTTAACCTAAACCTTAGATTAGTAAACTCTAATCCAACCCTAATCCCTTAGGTTAGTTAAACCTTAAACCAATAGGATTAGCTAACCTAAACTCTAGGTTAGTTAGCCCTAAACCAATCGAATTAGCTAACCTAAACCCTAGGTTATTTAACCCTAAACAAATAGGATTAGTTAATCTAAACCCTAGGTTAGGTAATCCTAAACCAATAGGATTAGTTAACCTAAACCTTAGGTTAGTTAACCCTAATTGAATAGGATTAGTTAACCTAAACCCTATGTTAGTTAACCTTCAATCAAGATTAGTTAACCTAAACCTTAGATTAGTAAACTCTAATCCAACCCTAATCTTTAGGTAAAACAAACCTCAATCATAGCTTAGTCTTAAGCTAAACTTACCCTAAACCTTAGGTTAAGAACCTTACCCATAAGTTGAACACAGGAGAACCTTTTAGGTAAAACCTTAAGCCTAAGTTAAACCTAAACCCCTCAACTTGAACATCAATAAATAAATAAAATAAAATACATTGGGAGGGGTAAACTTTACATAAAACATATTAAAACTTAAATAAAACCAAATGCAACAAGGCTCTAAAGTATGGCTTTGAGGTTAAGTCAACTTCAAAGTCATCAACTTCACATAAGTAATAAAAAATGAACAAAAATAACTAAAATAAAATACTTAAAATCTGATAACAAGATGTAAACAACCTAAAATATTTCAATCCTAAAATTGATGAAGTGAAGAGTCCTTGGACGATGCATTTTGTGGATGTTGACAAGAATTTTCTGGTCCTGGTGGGCAACCACCTTTCGGACTAAGTAAACTAGAGCATCCGGCGACCCGGGACGACGGAACCATAGACATCTTGATTGGGTTACCACTAATAATTAAAATTTAATAAAAATTTGATAAAACATTGTTTCTTTATTTGCTCTATTTATTGCTTTATGTATCTCAATGCATGTTTTTTTACTGCTTTTATCAAACATAAAATGCATGTGTTAAGGATAAATAATGAATAAATAAATGTTGTTTAGATTAAGGAGAACGTAGAAATCATGCATAACACTAGAGATTTACTTAGCTTAAGTGAACTTAACCTTGGCTTAAGTTTGAACTATACCTCCACTACCCTTTAATTAATTCACTATAAAATTATCAAAATAAATAAAACTCTTAATAATAAGATTGAAGGACCTGAAGACTTGAAGACACTTGAACAAGGGGCAGACTTTGTGGGCAATTCGTTCAAGACCCTTTCTTTAGTTTAAATAATAACCCTTATGATTTCGATGTTGTCTTTTATGACATAAAACCTCTCTTTTTGTTAGACCCCTGCATAGTCCCAATATGCAGCATGTCCTAACTTGTTTTAGGATTCTGAGATAGTCACTCGACATAAAACCTTTTATCTTTCTAAGCTTTTTGTGTAAATCATCATTACACAAATCTAAGCCATAATTAATAAAACTGACAAGAGTTAACTTAAATTAATATCATCCTCAATTGAGCCAAACCTTAGGATAGTTTGGGGGATTACCAAAAACCTACCCTGGATCTTTAATCTCTCCTACTTCTCTTCCTTTGATTCTTAAAACAAAATCTTTCACTTTTGAACCAATCCCTATTGAAAACTCCACAATCATGTTAGTTGAAAACCCTTCTTTTTGAACTCATGAAAGCAAAAGATTCTTGACTTCTATCGAGAGTTTTCTTAAGTGATACATTCACTTAAGATGTAATTAACTATAGGGGCTTACCCTTATAGAGAAACTTTTTGAACTCATGAAAGCAAAAGATTCTTGACTTTTATCGAGCGTTTTCTTAAGTGATACATTCACTTATGATGTAATTAACTATAGGGGCTTACCTTTATAGGGAAATTAAAAGAACTCAGACTTAAAATAAACCCTATTTGACTCCCATGTCGAATAGGAGAATCTGTCGGTTATCATGCAAACTTGCAGATCAAACAAAATTCATTTATTTCTATAGTTTATTTAATTGAGCTTATTATCAAGTAGTGTATTACCTTTCAGGGTGGTACATTACTTGTGGTTAGCTTGATTATCCAAACTGTAGAAATCAATCGGATCAGTTTGACCCCATTTTCTTCAAATTAAAATACATAATTTCTAAACACTATATTACACAAAATTAAATCGCACCCAGCTGCATGGCAACCGACACAAGCTCAATGTTATTATGCCTTCTGTTGAACAAAAAAAGTTGGAAAGAAGGAAAAACAAGCTCAAAAGAGTGTGCTTGATGAAATTAAGACTAATAAATCGCAAAGGCTGTGGAATCTTCATCCAAGTTTTCATAAATAACCAAAAGAGACTGAAGAATATAGATACCTAGTTGGAAAAGAAAATGCTAAAAAATGGTGTCATATTTTTCTGGAGAATGCCAAAGAAGGCTCGCCGTACTCGGATTTGTATTCAGCACCAAGGAAATTTGATGA